CAGCAGCATGGCTCGGCGGGCGGGCGCAGGGCCGGGATCGGCCGGCTTCGCTCTCTTGGCAGGGGGCAGCTCCTCGCCTGCCTCCGGCATCGTCCCCCGGCCGCCACGCGCAGGGATAGCGTCACGGCTGCGACACTACCCCACTACCACCACCGAGACTGCAACTCCCGGCCTGCACCGCGCCGGGGGCGGGGCTTTTGGCGAAGGGTACATGCCGGCAAGCGCGAGAACGCCCGGCCGCCGCGCGGAGGTGACGTCACGGCTGCGACGGGGGCGAGATTTTTAGCGAAGCGGTGCATGCCGGGAAGCGCGGTCCTCTCGGAGCGAGCAGCGGCGCCATAGGGTCTACCAGGCCCCGGTTCTCTTCTGGACGTTACCCCACCAGCGCCCAGTGCAGAGCAGCTCCTGCAGCTGCACTGAGACACACACAAATAGCCAGGAGTTGTATTTAAAAAAACAACAACCGCTGGTCCGGTGGCAATAAGGCTGACTGACGTGCGAAGGCGAGGTCAGGTAATACCTAAAACAGCTACTGAAGAGTTGCTTGGGCCTTATCAGGAACCGCCGCACCAACTGCTGCTTCGTCTGTGGCCGAGATTTATATGACTGAAGCACCTGAGGTTTCAAAGAGATTATGAAGGTTTGCAAGACATCTTTCCCCTCTGTGTGAGACCCAAAGACATTGATGTGAAATGATGCCATGAGAACCGTGATCTTGCTCAGCACCTGCTTGATAAACCATCGCTCTTGCTACAGGTCGTTTCTCTACACGGCCAAGGTACAATCAAGTTTTCCATTTTCAAACTTTTTACAAATCTGAAGGTCAGAGCCTTTTTAGACTACAGGCGGAAGCACTTTGCACATTTGTCACTCGCTTCCATGCCCTATAAAACAACGCCGTCACATAGTCGTTCCCAGCTCTGAAATGACCCTTCCAAGAGGCTTTTCCAAGTTTCTGCTGGCAATTTCACAGATGCCCTCACCTCGCAAAACTGTGTTCAAAGCATCAGCATACACTTTTGGCCTTTTAAGATGCCTTGTCATTCTCCCTCCTTGAAGCGGGATGGTTAACTTCTGTCCTAGCCAGATGCAGTTCCTGTTTGATGACAGTCTCATCACAGTACACGTTTGTCTGCCTCTTCACCTGACATACCTCATCCCCAGCACTACTGACAGAAATAACATCCAAGTTCTTTATGAATTTTTCCTCCTAGCTGGAACACTGCACTGGATCCACAACATTGTCTAACTACTCTGCTCAGAACATGTTAATGTACTCAAGATAAAGAGGGAAAAAAAAACTTTCAACACACGACACGTGTGTAGCCATCCTAAACTGAAGTGTGCAATTGACCTCTAGGACTGTAACAGAGAATATAGGTCCCTTACAGGCCAGAACGATAAATCAGGAAGGCAAAGCTACCGTGATCCAGAAGACCTCAAGCACACAAAATCCAGGGAAGGCCAGAGAGAAAGAAGTCTAGGAACAACAGCCTTGGGAGAAAAACAGTAATCTGGGGATTATTTTGTTCTAAAAGACCAAAATCAGAAGCTGTGTAGTGTAGCCTGGGCAAAGAAATAGGAGCTTTGCCCTACAAGTACAAACGCTGGGAGATAACGCTCTTCCCTCTGGCTGAAGAAGAATCAGCTGCTCTGTCCTGGTCCAGGAGGAAAGGGGTGAGGGATTTTGACTTTGTTGACAAGTTGCAAAATGGAAAACAGTATCCCAGCACAGAAGATTACCTGGGAGGAAAGGGCTTGGTTATGAAGGTTGTGTTTTGAAGCTTTGATGACAGCCTCAGCAGACAAAAGCAAGAGACAAGCTGTTTTAGGACAGGAGCCTGCCAGAGTTAATTACAGAATAAAGAACAAATAGACTTTGGTGGCACAGCTCCAATCAAAGGTTTAATACTGTTCAAATGGGTTAGGGCAGTTCTGTTCACATAACAGATCATTTCCTCTACTACTATGACCTGAATGATTCAGCACACTGACACAAAGTCTTGATTATGTTCTTCTCTATGGAAAGGCAAATGTAATTCATTCCTTCCAGGATGGTTTATTTTTATCCAATCTCAACCCGGGGTGATATTTTGCAGGTTAAACATGTTAACAAGCTTCAAGTGATTAAAAAAAGTGCCAGTGTAGGATATCATGTAAATGGAGCTAGGAAACAACAATACCAAACATGCAAAGTAAAGCAGACTATTAAGACATTTTAAGCTATAACAAGCCAGCAGCTGTCTTGCTGTCAGTGTAACATGGACAAGCAGGCAGTCTCCTCTTCTCTGCTTTGATACACACACCCACACATCCGAGTTGACTTCAGTATCTGTAAAAAGTACTTCATCCGGCTGATGGGAGCAGCATGACCCATCAGCACAGCCTGCCCGTACCTGCCTGCCAAAACCATCTCCTCTTTACATTAAGGAAAACTGTGAAGGGTGGCAGGAGACAAAGCCCTGAAGCAGTCAGCTGTATCCATGCTCTAAAGCAGTGGTCTCCAAACTTTTTTGATCGCGCACCCCTATCAGTAAAACATTTTTGAGCAGGCACCCACAATATATGTATATTTATATTTGCGCACCCCATCAGTAAAAAATTTGAGCACGCACCCCCAATATATATTTATATAAATATAAATATAAATAGAAGTTCTAACCCGCACTCCAGTGGATCATCTTGCGCACCCCACTTTGGAGACCACTGCTCTAAAGCAGGGCAATCCAACTTCTAAGCTCCTGGGATCTATGTGGCCCAGTGCTGCACCAGGAGACTCCAAATGACAAAGTCCCCACCAGGCACTCTACAAAATCTCTCCCCCCGCAACATACCACTGCACTTTGTGCCTGCACGTGTGCTCCCCACCCCACTGCACAGTGCAGGCATGACATTACAATTCCCTACATGCCTGCGTGGGCAGGCCCCCACTTCTACACAGTGTAGGTATGGGTTTGATCCTCATCCCTCACACCTGGCATGTGCCCAGACTCACCCTCAGCTCTCCATGGAATCACACAGCCTCATCTCCTGGGGCAAAGTCAGGAAGCAGCAGCCAGATGAGGGAGAGGGAACCTGGAGACTCCAGCTGCTATTGCAAGGTGGACACATATTAACCTCTCACAGGCCACATGCAGCCTGTGGGCTGTCAGTTAGAGATATATGCTCTAGAGATCAAGATGTTGGAGCTGTTCCACAGAAACAAAGATGGTTTTGACCATAAGCAGTCCAAGTTTGTTAAGGCATTAAAATACAAAAGGCGGCAAGGCACAAAGATATGGCAGCATCTGAACACACCTACATCACAAGGTATTTTAGGACAGACATGTCATTCCACCATCTTTTTTTTTTTTTAAATCAAGCCTCTTGCATCACATCTGTGTAGTTCAGTGGGTCTCAACCTTTTTAGACCCGATGCACCCCTCAGGAAGTTCTAACTCTTAGATTCCACTCATTTTTTGAGTGCAGAAAAAAAAATAACAACAGAGAAATTCTTCTGTTGCAAAGAACTCAGAAACACCACCACTATAGATTTTTATTTGAAATCTCTGGATTTATTGTATAAATCCTGCAGCACCTTTGGTAGGATCTCAAGGTACCCTGGGGTACAGTGCCAGCCTGGTTGAGAATTATTGATTTATACACTCTTCAAATATTTTTGGGGAGAATAAACATGGAAACAAACAAACAAAAAAAATCATACACTAAAAGCAAGTTATTGCTATTTTGTTTTCAAAGACTGCTTCCAAACTGAGCAGGGGCAATTATAATGGGCAAACTGGAAAAAGCCACGTTTCTAGTGCAGTGCTTGCTAAAAGTGGCAAGTTGCTTCAGGAGACCAGGCTGGGCCTTAATCCTCAGGATTAGTTTATTTTGCAGCAGCAAGATCTTTTCTTGCTCATTGATATTCTACCTGCAGCCTACCAAGGGCTTCTGTCTGTGCAAATGTTGAGCTGAAAAAGACAGCCCTGTTGCAATCAAAATGTTTGACAGCTAATACCCGAAGGCTCCTTGGTCCTTCAATAGATTAAAAGCTACTTGGGAAGGAAAACATTTCCCTCTACAGTTATACGCCCAGCAAGATCCTTTGAAGGACATAAATTAAGATACAAACTCCAGGCTGTAACAGGATCATGTCTCCAGGGGCAGCCATGACACCCCCTGACAGCCACTTGACTTCTGCCCCACTCTGGCTCCCTGGCTACCCTCCCTTTTCTCTTACCTGCCAAGCCCTGAGGTAGTTAGTTGATTTATAAAAAGGGAAGCTGCCCTCAAGTCCCAAAGCAAGTCTTGGTCCATCTTTCAGCCAGCAGATCCCTTTCTAACCCCTTTTGTGCCAGTGCTGCCCATCAAGCACTGAGTGGGCCCTCCTGGGCTATCCATGCTCTCAGGGCACCTATTGCCATAAGGGCTGTTCATGGCCTCTTGCCCCTACAGCCATGTCCATGCCTCAAGGATATTACCAGTTATCATTTGCATGGGACACCTTGCCCCCCCCCCCCCCAATACACTGTTAGGCCTCTACATCACTGTTGGGGCTTCAGCCTTCCTGGCTATGGCCCCTTTCCTCTGGATGGACCCCTCTCGGCCTAGGTCCACTGCACCAGACCTTGGCTTCCAGCCATCTCGCCCCTCAGGTGCTAGGCCCCAGCCCCAGGACATCCCTAGTTTAGGTGCTGCTCTGGCAGGACTCTAAACCTGGTTGTGCCCCTCAGCCATCCCGCTGTGGGCTCCTCATTTACCCCTTAGAGCCACACCTGGTCTACAAGTATAGAACTTAAAAAGACAAGCACACTGGCTGTAACTAAAGCCATCACACACTAGGTCATACTTCCCTGCAAGCTACAAGCCCTTTACTCGACATTCCTAGGGCATCTTCAGTGCCAGTTAGTCCCTCTGCAGCAGCCAGCCTGCTCAGGATCTCTGCTCCCTGCAGGGCCAGGCTGACTGCCTGTTCTCAGGCCCTGATCTTATGTTCTTGCTCCTTCTGATCAGGTGGCTCTTCAGCCACTCCCAAGGGCTTTCACTTTGGACTTGACAGTTAGCCTTCAGGGCACCTTACAACTGCTACACTTGCTGCCTTAGCTGTACTCTTACTGATGAGCAGGGCTCTGCTTATCATACTATTTTGGGCAGCCTATGAGTCTCTGGCTGCCTATTCCCCTGCAGCCTTTCCATACATAACATGCAGCCTCCCCTGCACTTGGGATATCCCTGCTGCTGCCTCTGCCTTAAAGTTAGAGGGAGCCTCTGGCTCCCTGTTATACAGGCCAAGCCATTATCTAGATTCAGAAAGATCTGAACTTAGTGACATGCTGCCATCTGTACCAGCTGTTATGCTGAAAAGAAAAGAACCTTCCCTGACAGCTACTGAAAGAAAGAAGTTGTCAGGGGATCTAACAGATTTGGAGATTTGAAGATCTCAACCTTTTGTCCTGAATCTCCACCAGACAGTAAACACCCACACCCATCGCACCTTCCACAGTTCTTTAGGGTGGGTGGACAGCTTCAAGCAGTCAGAAGCAAAATGTGCAGTCTCTCAGTTGGGTCACCAATTTGACTCTGATCCATTTATGTAGTCACAAAGCAAATCCTGTGACAGCCATTCTGTGGCTGTGGAGTGACTTGGTATCGCTCCAATTCTTCCTGGACAGATGCGTATATTACTTATCCCTCTTATGAGCAGCTTCTCAGAGATCAAGGATTAAATCTAGCAAACAGCACAAACAATCCTCTCCCTTGTATACTGCAACTACACAGTTCCATAAAAATCAACCAGGCAAATAACCAGCATCTTCCAGAATTAAAATCCCAATTCAGGCTCTGAATTTTAGCAAATTTTGTTTCAGATCAAAGTCTGATAACAAAGAGAGGGAACCATGCTTTTAATGACTCACACCTGCTTCTATCCAACAAGAAGAGCTTAAAATCAAAATGTTTTTATTTTGTCCCCTTGAAAGTTTCCCATACAGTCTCCTGTATCAAATAGCTTGAAAAATGCTTTTAGAAATGTTTAAACAAGTTATTGATGGTCTTGTTAACTGTAGCTGATAGGAAAGGGTTTCCAGTTGTAATTGTTTTTGGCTCCACTAGATTATACTTTCACTGCCAGCATGGCAAAACCCCTGATGGGGAGGAACACAGGTAGTCTTCTGGTAATGTCTTGAATTAAACAGCCATTTCATAAAGTGCTTGTACTCGGAACCATAAAGCTGTCAAATGTCCTTTCTGCAACAAGGTAGTGAGAGGCTCTCCAATGTGGTACTTCAGTTTAGTTCCTCCCAGCTTGTGTCTGGGTGTCGGCATGGCCATTTATTAGCCTCCAAGGCGCTGACCTTCCCCCCATGCAAACCCCCCTGGTCGCTCTTCTGGCAGTGGGTTGTAATTGGGATCATCTTCCGGCATGTCAAATATTGCTTTCCTGGACAAACAGAAGTTTATAGATGAAATACATGTTCCACACTACTGGTAAGTAGTCTAGCATAAATCTGTATTTCAAACTGTATCTGAATGAGAATATTGCAATGGCAAGAGTCATATGCTATTATGTTGTATAAATCCAAGCTACATTTGCTCTCTGTTGGGAACTGGTTAACCTAGATGGGGCAGATCCAAAAACAAAGCCCCTTCTAAAATAAAGTTTAAAGACATGAACCATAAGCCTCAAATTCAAAATCTGCCTTACTCTTACCAATAAAGTGGGAGATGCTGAGCCAGCAGCCTTGTCTGCCAGCTAGAAAAATCATTCTGGCACACCTCCGAGAAAGGATATCTAAACTGTCAAAGGTGCTAAGTTTCTTTAACTGGTGCTAAGTTTCCTCAACTAGCTGAGACAAAACTCAATTTAAGCCAATTGACACAAGCATTGAACAGACTAGGCAAAACCATGATAAGTAAGAAAAGTACTTGGAAGTAACCCGAAGAGACTGGATTAATCAGGCAGGTACTTGATTCCACTTAGAAACCACTTCTGTAGCCTCACTGGAAACTGCATCCAAAGTCTGACCACTTCAGAAAAACCTGTGGAGTAAGAGCTCAATGCCATCTTTGCTATGTGGAATTTTTTAAAAGCAAGATTGGCCAAGGGGGCTTGATTTGCTGATTCTGTTCACCAATGCAATAGCAACCAAAAAAAGACTGCCTTCAGAATAAAGGTTATTCAGAAGACCACTGGAAAGGGGCCACATAAGATAAGAATGCTCAAGGGGAAGGGCTCTCTAACCAGTGGATAAGGAGCAACTCCTTTAAGAACAGTAGTAAGAGTTGGAACTTGAGCACGACTGTACTGGTGCCTGGATTACTGCACTTTAATGTGAAGTCACAAATCAAACGCCTTTTTTGGTCCACTGCCACGCATTCGCCAGGTAAGACAAAACAGGCACCTCCCAATAGCTGACTGTTGCCCTTATCTACAAAGGGAAATAGATCAGAACAACTTTTCGGAAATCACAATTCAGCTGCACTTCCGGAATAACAAAAACGCTCTCCCAGAATATGCATTTAAGCGTTTTTCTGGAATAACTAGGCCAGTCTATTACCCCATGTAAACAAGTACTTCCGTGTTTAGATACCAGACTTGAGATACCTATGGCCTCCTAGAGAACATTTGATATCAAGATCGGATCAGTATAGCCCTGCACCATTTGAGGAGGGTTCTGGGTCTTGTATGCTCTGAACAAACCAAGTTTTCACAAAAATTGAGGTTTGTTGCACCTTAACAACACGATGTCTATTTTGCAACCTTTTGGAAATGTGTCAATAAGATATTAGACATATTAAACTTGTCTCGATAACAGCATATTTATATTCTGGAGTCTTACAAACTCTGTCTTATAATCAGCTTTCTGCAAATTTAGGTGCAACAAATTTTAGTTGATGTAGGAGTGTGGGAGATTCCACAGTTGGACTACATCTTAGAGAAAGCATCTTTGGCTCCCACCTTTTTGTGCAACTACAGAAGCTGAGAAAATGGAATGAGACAAGTAACGCCATACTCCTTTGTCTCAGATTATCAGTTTACAAGGAGGATATTTGAATGCAACACTGTGGATAAACACATATTATTTGTATGCTGCATATCTGACGACAATACTTACAAAACAGAGGGTGTTCTGAGAAGTCTTCCTCCCCCTGGCTGATTGGGAAAGACATCTTCTAAGAAAAAATATATGTGCCCAACTGCAATCCCTAGGGTCAGAGATAAAAATACAGTGATTTTCAACATTGCCAACCTTTAAAATACCCCATCACTTCCTTGTTTTTATGAGAGAGACCACATACTTCTATGTTTATGTAAATAACCTGATATCAAGCAAGAAGCACAGTACGTACAAATGCTAACGTTAAAGACTATGGTAGATGATATACAACAGACTGAGTCACAAAAATACAAGAGGAAAGTGTCACAATAACTTAAACACATTGATGGTAATGCTCTATTTGTACTGACAAACACAAGTCTATACAAGCTGTTATACAGCAGCAAGTCTCTTGGCCACAGTCAGGTGCCTATAGCTTTCTCCAAGTAAGAGAGAACCAAAATACCAAAAGATCTTTTAATTGATGTGACACCACAGATACATCACTGTGTATGCGAACAATTAAGACCTGACATAGAAAAGGACACTCTGGGAAAGAAAGGTCTTTACCGAGGATAACTGTTTCCTCTAAGAAAACTGTTTCCTCTAATTCTAACATTCCTGCCCAGCCCCATAGAAAATACGTTTTGGCATTTCTGTATTTCAACTCTTCAAAGATTAAAATGTCATATGAGCAAGGCAGACAGAGATGACATTTTGAATACGTGAGTGTCCAACCGTCTAGATCCTAGGCAAAGAATTGAGATTGCTGTGACCACACTTTCAGTAGGCCGATTGCCAACAATTCCCCAGATGCAAGGTTAGTGCCAATCTAACCCTCCCTCTGAAAGGATGGCTCAGCTGCATGGACTGAGCACCTCTGTTTTTGATAACTCCAAAACTCACTTCCCTGAAAGTCACAACATCTTCACTTGAAATACCTGTGAAGCCCATGCAAAGGATTTTTGGATGAGTATGGAAACTAAGCATGCACACACCTGGCTGGATGAGAAAAGGCGAAGTGGAACCCTCCACACCACCCCACTAACACTACCCAGAACCCACAATCACGTGTCACTGAAAACACAAATACCTACTTACCTCTTTCTGGCCAGGTTAGTGCTTTGATATTCAATTAAGAAGTCAACATGGTTTAATAATCCTTGTCTCTTTGAAGGAGAAGGCTAACTGGATGGAAAAGAGACTCTACCTAGAAACAGTTTCGACTAAACATATAAGTTTTTTTTTTTTAGAACTTCTTACCCAATAAATCCACAATAATGGAGTTTCCCAAGAGCAGTGAAAAGCCCATGAGTACCCAAGGCAGAAATGGGGCCTGGAAGATGAGAAGACCAAAAAAGTTCATACGAACATAGGGATTCCTGCGGCTCCACACATACACAAGCATGATTGTGAATGCCTGACCCAAGAACACCAAGTTCACAAACAAACCAAAAAGCTGGTTAGAGCAGTTAAAGAAAGTATCAGTGCATGTGCCTAAGATGTAGAAAACTGAAATCTGAATGTGCGGGGGGGGGGGGGGGGGAAG